CAAAATACCACGCAAATTAACTCTCATGAGATTGTTACTGAAGAATTCCAATTCCCTTCACTAAATGTTGAAATTCCTTATCCTTATGATGGAGTTATTATAATTCCTTTTAGAACTACTGAAGTATTTATTAATCAAGAACAAGCACCAAATAATCCTTTATGAAATTACTAATGAAGAGGTTTAATGTTCTGTTCGAACTTATAAACTTAATATACTTAAACTATTCCTTCTTTCGAATCTACTGAAGCATTCAATAGCCGGCAATATCAAATAATCGGATACTTACGAATTTTATAAAGAGTTCTAATCCCTAATTAAACTTTGAAACTCCTTTCGGAATTAGCTATATCGATTATTTCTTATATAATTTTATTACAAACAAATACCAGATTTGCTAATTTTCTCTCTGGATGACGTGACGTCAATCGGCAATATGAAAGTATTTCTTGAATGTGTACCAGGTTAGCAATGTAGTAAGTATCCACAGTGATCTATTACATAGATATCAAATTAGATTTTTCTTAATATTAGTGTAAGGACAAAGGATATGCTATAAAGAATTTTTTGTTTAAAGAATCTTTTACGAACATTTACTATCGATTTATGCATTACATGTACATTGCCATGACTTATGGCACCTGTAACTTAAATTTGTTTAATACTATATGGCGTGAAAAATATATTACGTAATAAAATCCCTGCATTACATACTTATTTAGCAATAACGATAATAAAACTCTAATGAATTCTTGTTGAGTATTTCAAAATTGTTACCGTTATGTACCATATAGTGTTGTCTACAGTACCCCTTTGATAAAGTATTCTCCTCGTACAGTAACTTTTTTTGAACTCCATAAGCCATTTACTTCTTGTATAGTGCATTCAGCATCCCCACTACTATTCAAGCTAGTCTGTGAGTTTTTTGGAGTGCTATAGTCAATGCTATACGGTGTAAACGTAAAACGACGAGTCAGTCGCTAATTCGTCGGATGTGTCGTGCAACCACTTGGGAGGGTCAGTTCGGATCGAAAAAGTGTGTTAGATTTGGCGAGTGGTTTGCTTGGTAATAGTCGGGTCTACTGGTAAAGAAGGTTTCGAGTTTGGTGTTGGTCTAATGTACTAGCGTACTTCTATGATTGCAAGTTAGGGACAGATTATATAACGACGATTGTATTTAATAAAGATATTCGTCTATTCTTATTGACAAGTAATTTTATTAAGGGTGATTAGGAATTGTATAGGTTATGTATTGAATGCAAAGGGGAAGTTATTCTTCCTAAAGGGCCTTTCGGCCTTTATTTATAATTAAAAATCTCTATTTACAGTATGCGAGGGATACGACTGATATCTCTGACTCTACTGAGACGTCGTATCCCACTGATATTCCCCAAAATACCTGTCTAACCGATCGCTGATATCCGTCACATTCGTTACATGCATCATATGCAACTGATCGGTCGCATGCGACGGATGCGATCGACTCTCCTTTTCGAATTAAGCGATGGACCCCAAACGGCCAGGGTCCACAACGGCAATAATTTGGATTACGAAAATTACAATTTGTGCAACAATGTGTAAGCGATGTTTTGCAACGTATTTGGATTTTTTAATTTTTTGTGTAAAGTTAAGTTTTTAAATGTTGAGTTAAAATATTTTATCCATTATTGTGTATTTTACATATTGCGTATTTGATGTTTTTGCATAACCTCGTGAGTTTATTTATTTATTTATTCGATTTATCAAAATTGGTGATGATTATTTTTGTGACATGGTGTACATTTTAAAAAAGAAAGTTTGTTACTCACCTTATATCTGCAATTACCTTAATGTTCTTTGTAATTGGTCGTACAATTAGGTGAAAATTATCAGAATATGTGATTATTTTAACTATAAAATGCTTTCTTTTGAGCGGCTTGTTTTAAAAATCCTTATCTTTTTATGATCAGATCATTTACCTATGGTTTTTAGTTTTACTGCAAATACTGTAATCCTACTGCCACCACCAGTATAGTTAAATTGTTTAAATACGTGTTAAACATTCCAAATGTCTCAATCAAGTAAACCACAAAAATTGCGCACTAATGCAACTGTAGCATGTAACAATTGTCGAGCGAGTCACCGAAAATGCAAAAAACCTTCTGAAGAGGACACATGTGCATACTGTAGAAACCACAGACTTCATTGCGCTTATACTTTGGGTGGAAAACGCGGTCCAATGCCTAGATTTTCTAAATCACGATCTCCTTTTAATAGTAATTTTCATAAACCTAATATTGAAGAATTCCAATTGTTCTCATTAAATTTTGGAACTTCACTTCTTTATAATGTTATTACACCTCCTTTTAGAACTACCGAAGTATTTATTGATAAAGAACCGACACCAAATAATCAAAATATCACGTCAATTAACCCTAATTAACCAATATTGAAGAATTTCAATCTTCCTATTCAAACTTTGAAACTACATATGCTTATACTACTCCTTCTACAGAAACATTTATTGGTCAAGGATTAATGTTAAATAATAATCCAAGTACCGTGTCAATTAACTCTTGTGAGAGTGCCACTGAAGAATTCCAACTCTGTTCATTAAATCATCCGTATTACAATGCTATTATGACCCCTTCTAGAACTACTGGAGAATTTATTAACAATGAACCAGCACTAAATAATCAAAATATTACACCAATTAACCTTTATGAAACTACTAATGAAGAATTTCAGTCCTCTTATTTAAACTTTGGAATAACACATGCTCGCACTATTCCTTCTTTCGGAACTACTGAGGCGTTCATTGACCAAGGACTAACGTTAAATAATCCAAATACCACACCATTCAACTTTTACGAGATTGCTACTGAAGAATTACAATCTCCTTATTAAATTTTGGAATATCACATCCTTATCTGTTATAATGATTATTATAACTTCTTGGAACAATTAAGGTGCTTATTGACCAAGAATTAACACCAAATAATCAAAATGTCATACCAATAAATTTACTACAGAAGAATTACGATTACTTCATTACCTCACACACTTATAATCATATTACCACATTACTGTATTATTACTACTTCACCCTTTTGGAATTACTATCTTTTATTATTATATTATTAAAACTCCTTTCGAGACTACTGAAGCATTCATTGATCAAGAACCAATACCAAATAATATAGATTATTTTTTTATATAAATTTTATATTACAAACTGAAGTAAGACTCTCTTCTGGTGATGTGACTCGATTATATGAAAGATCTCTTAACGTGAACCTAGATTGAGGACAAAGTGTATGCTATAGAAGAACCTTCTTTAGTGTTTTAAAGAATTCTTTCCGAACATTTACTAGTTTACGTATATACTTATTTTTTATTATATTTTTTTACCATATTTATTTATATGTTATTCAACTTTTTTCACCTCATAAATGCTATATTGTATTTCGCATATTCTGATAACTTGAAACATTCGTAATTTAAAATTTTGGTTAATATTGTGTGACGCGAAAAAAACGTTAGTGAAATCACTGTATTATGTACTTATTTATAGCAATAATTAGGGATGGACTACTGCATAATTTTTAAGCGCTCTTTAAAATTCAGATTGGTTTTCTGGTCAACTTGCGCAGTCGATTCAAAATTTCTCGACTTGATTATCTCTAGCAATAACGATATAAAATTTTTAATAAATTTGAGGATCCTTTACACGAATTTATAAAGTCAGTTTGCGCGTATTTAATTGAATAGTTATCTTTATGTATGTAATAATTTTGATTGTGAAAATTAGTTATAATCTTTAATAAATTATGAATTAATTATTGAAAAATAATATTTCTACTATCATAAATTTTCATTTTAATGGCTTAAGCGAATCAGTCTATAGCTTTCATCTTTGATATGTCACTAACTGTAGAGATTTCAATGGAATATTAAACATCAAATATGTTCATTAATTTCATTTATATTAAGTAAAAAATATTAGTGATAGTTAAATATTTTACAGATAATAAAAATATAATTTACAAATCTGCAACATAAAAATTTCAATGTTCCTTCTATAAACATTTCGCAAAGAATAAAGACTACTAGTAATACTTTGATTAGGACAATTGTAACAAAGTAACAGGGTTGAGCCTAAAATGGGCACCACTAGTAATTTTGAAATATATTTCCAGTACCGCTTTAATTGGTTCACATGACTATGAGACTCGATTTCTCGTGAGATGTAACCTGTTAAATTCGTCAATGAAAATTACTAACATATAATTGAAGGTAAAATTTAAGTTTAAATTACCACTACTTAATGAATTGATATTTGTTACAATGGATTCTTTATTTGAAGTATTTAAAGTAAATATAATATATACGTATTGGTATTTATTTTAAAGACTACAAAGACTACAATAAATAAATTTAACAAATTTACCTGTTACATTTGAATGTAGATTTCGTAAAGCTAAAGCGCTGCTGACAGAACTCAACAAGCGATTTTGATATATTGTTATTGAACAAATCTTTTCAATATGTGAAAAGTAATTTCGGAAAGAAACGGCTCATTTTCGTTATTTTTTAATGTCTGAATTATTTCGAATTTAATGTCAGAAGCTTTGAAACATCGTTGTCCCAACGTTTTTTGATCAATTGGACAAGTTCTTTAGGGGTATCATCAATGAAATCAAGAGAAGACCATCCAGAATCGCCAAAATAAGATCAGTGTCATGTTTTCGATCATAAAAAGGTCGTCATATCCCATATAATCATTCCTAGGCTATAAATATCGGATTTTTTAGTGTAAGGTTCACCTCTTAATACTTCAGGAATCACATATGGAATTATTCCATATATCACATCTCGATTTGATGTCGCATTTACTGATTTACTTCTTTCAAAGTTAGTGATTTTTACACATGGAGAATGAAATCTGGTATCTTGTTAATTAATATATTTCCACTATGAAAATCGCAATGAATAATATTTTTTTTTATGGAGATTCATAAGATCCCACACGATAAAATTTAATAGTTCAAGCATGCCGCGTAACGATAAAGTTTTTTGGCTGTTTAAAAAACAGTGTAGATCTCCATATAATGCAAATTCCATGATTATATATTTTTTTATTTCTGGATCTCGCGTAATACCATAAGTTTTTTTTAGAAATATAGATCAGAAAATTAATTTCTGCATTGAAATTGATATTCAACTAAATAGAATATAATATTTTCGATTATATATGAATACATGTTAAAAAAAGAAATACAAACCAGTGATTGGACTCAAGTCATTCGTGGCCTAAAAAAAAATTAATAAATTTGACTCAAGTACAAGTTTAATTCCGATATCCTATACTGATCCCATTTTAAAAACCTGCATAAACATCGTTATAATAATTATAAATCTTGAGAACAACTTCACTTTTACCCATTTCCCAAATGGCTTTATAAATTTCGCTAAATCCTCCTTTAGCCATGTAAATTATATTGGTGAATTGATTACATGGAATAAATTCTAAGTTATATATTTTAATTAAACTAATAATTTTATGTCACATGGTGTTTATCGCATTTATGGTTCATTCATATCATTACAAATGATTTTTTTTTTTTTTTTTACAAAATCTTTATTTTTTTTTTTAGAAACATTTAAAACTTTCACAAAATTCGAATTGATTTATAGTTTCTTTTTTAATTAAAATTTACATACAGCATAATTTTTCGTAAACATCTTTATCCAAATACGAAAGCAAATTCAAGTTCAGAATGTGCATTTTGTTCAGCCAAGACTGTGAAAACAAGTTTTGTACGAAGAATGTGCGTGTTTGTAACCTGCAGAATTGTGTAGTCCTATTATGAAAACTTAAGCCCAAGATTTGGCACGTATCATTACACGAATCGGCACACTCAAATCTTATTTTTCCATATTAATATATGATGCACATAGATCAAAAAAAAAGAAGAAAAAACGGTTATCACTGCTTTTGGGTTGGCAAAATTTATAGTCTGAAAATTATTGAATGTGCATCATGAATCATTTCTGAGGACAATCAGACTTAAACTAACTGAATTTCTGCACATTGAGTTTTAAACTTTATTACTTGCGAAATTATTTTCATCGTAACAAGTCGAAAGAAATTTATTGACCAATGCCTTTAAAACCTTGTGACAATACTTTTGTATATCATATTTTTAAGGTACACAAAAATAACCGGTGGCACCATTTCCCCGACAAAATATTTACTCGTCACCAACAGTGCTTTCTTCCAACGATTATTTCACTGAATATTACTTTCCCGAGTTATGTTAGAGTTAGGGTGAGAGTCTATGTTAGAGTAAGGGGTAGGTATTAGTGCTTTTTGAGGTAATGGCTATCGGGAAAATAACTATCATTGAGAATATTTGGTAGCATAATAGTCAGGAAGGATGCACTTATTTTGTCGGGAAATAATACTGTCAGGAATACTGTTGGGAAAGTGACTTCGGTGAAATCAGGTGTCGGTGAAATTAGTGTCGGAAAAATCTTATATAACTATATACCTTAGAAAGGTTCAGCAGAGATTTTCGCATATAGTACCTACAGGCCACTGCGCAATCTTTCAAAAATTCTGCTACATATAGTACATAGCGTACTGTGCATATAGCACATCACTACACATGCCTAATACCGATATTCTTCACGTCTTCCGTTCCTGGTTTTGCGTGACAACGTTGCGCAGCTATCTTATTTAATACAAGTTAGACATTCTCGATATGTCGTGCCTCTTGTCTCAGATGTCGATCGGCCTAATTTAGTTAAGAGTTTGAGAAGGTATAATTTAAGCAAATCAGTGACGATCAGTTAATGCTGGCGAAAAAGTCGATATCTGAGGCAAGCGTTAGTCTGAGGCAAAACATATACATATAAATGCTATACGATTTTTTCAATTGTATTATATACAATGTAATGTTAGGGTGTGCAACGGTCTATTAAAATCAAATGTAGGCAGGTTATTTACGATCATTCACTAATTGTGATTTTTGATTGTAAATTTTTTATCGAAAAAAAAACAATAGCGATAGTTTGGTTATCTGCATAGACTGAATTTCTGATGCATTACAGTATACCATATACATATTTATACAAATAAGTGTACCCGACACATATGGGGTCTTTACGCCCCAAAAATGCAAATCGAGTTTTTATTGGATTTGCGTAAATTTCGATGTGGTTAACATTTTTCAATTCTGAATGAGTGTCGATTTGCATAACAAATAGTCGAGAAAAGTTGTACGAAGTCGTGTACATCACGAGATGACCCGATATTTGGCAGTGTGACGTCATTTCGGCCAAATAACTTTGGCAAAAATGACGTCACACTGCCAAATAACTAGCAAGCTGACGGATAACACCGACATTGAATGTTACACGCCAATCTGACTTGCAGCCAGATACTGGAGTTATTTGTAAAAATAACTCTGTTATTGGATATTTCACGAATAAAGTAATTTGGCAAATGATTGGCTCACGTGCCGCAAAGCGGTACGTGTTTTGCCCAATAATGCATACATATATATGCTATACTTTTTTTAATATATACACTATATAATGGCCTCTTATATTAAACGCAAGCAGGGTTGCTTATGATCATTTCTAATTGTGGATAATTCATGGTTTAAATATTTGAAAATAAATAAATAATTTGTTTATTTATTGCATAAATGCACTCTGCATAGACTGAATTTCTGACGAGGCAGATTCACATATTAATCCAAATACTGTATAAATCGTATTCTTGATATCCATATATAAATAATACACTAACTGCATCAAAAAAAAAATAATTCTAACCTTAACCCGGCTTAAGGATTCCCCATATATACGTATTTCAGGATTACATAATAATTTCTATA